AGCCCATACTCCTTGAGGGTGGAGAAGGTATCGGCTAAATCCACCAAGTGGTCACAACTTCTTTTACTTTTAACCAACATGTAGTTGATGTAGACTTTCATGGTGTTGTCGATCTGTCTTTTGAACATCCGATTCATCAGCCTCTGGTACGTAGCTCCGGCGTTTTTCAGCCCAAATGACATGACTTTGTAGCAGTAAACCCCCCTTAGAGTGATGAATACCATTTTTTCTTGATTTGGGGGATGGAGAGGGATTTGATGATATCTTGCCCTGGCATCCAGGAAGCCTATGCGCTGATACCCGGCAGTGGCATCCACCAACTAGTCAATCTTTGGTAGGGGAGAGTCGTCCTTGGGACATACCTTGTTCAAATCAGTGAAGACCACGCAGACACGCCATTTTCCCCCCTTTTTCTTCGCACAGACCATGTTTGATAACCATTCTAGGAACTGCACCTCTCGGATAGTATTGGCCTCCAAGAGCTTTTCGACTTCCTCGTTCACTGCCCAGGTATGATCTGGCACCATGCACCATGGCTTCTACTTTATTGGCTTGCGTGCTGGGTTCACATGTAGCTTATACATGATTACTTCGGGGTCCACCCCTTTCATTTTTATTGCGTTCCAAGCGAACACATCTGCATTTTACCTTAAAAAGTCAATCATCTCTTCCTGTTCGGCTGTAGGCATTGTGGAGTCAATCAGGAAGTATCTCTCCTCTTCACCATCTACTAAGAACACCTTCCGGAGGTCCTTTATCGATCGGTCCGTTGGGTCAGTCCGGGGGTCATTCACTCTTGGACGCCCGGACTGTGATTGCTATTTTTTCAGGATTTCCTCTGGGGTACGTCCCTTCTCTTGGGTGAAAACCCCCGCTCTCACAGCTGAGTAAAAATAGTTTTTTACAGACGTTTGGTCCCTTCGGATCTCCATTATCCCTTCTGGTGTAGCAAACTTTAATTTCTGGTCGTAGGTGGAGTGCACCGCCCCTAGCACATGCAACTAAGCTCGCCCCATGATCACATTGTAGGGGGAGTCCGTATCAATCACAACAAATTCAGTGTTGATGGTGAAGGGACCTATGACAATTGGCAATGTAATTTTGCCAATGGGCAGGGCAAATGAGCCGTTAAATCTGACGAGGGGCGTCCTAACCTTGGTGAGGTCCTTAAGGCCAAAGCCCGTCCGCTTTAAGATTTTGAAGTACATTACCTCCAAGGAGCTCCTGGAATCTACCAACACCCTCTTGATGTCAAACTTGCCTATCTTCAAAGTTATGATTAGGACGTCATTATGGGGGGTCACCACGCTTGCTAAGTCCGCGTCGGAGAATGTGATACTCGGCTCACCAGTCCTGGCTCTCTTACTGGGTGGGCCCCCATCGCTCCCAACAACCTTTCTCGTAAAGGCTACCTTTTTGAGATCGGACTCAAGCTCCCTAGATGTCGAACGACACACGTGGATCACGTCTATGACGTTGTCTTGTGTCATGGTCGGGGCAGAAGCATGTCCCTCTTTTGACTTGGGTTCGATGTACTCTTTCAAGTAACCGTCATAGACTAGCCTTTCTAAGAAAGATTTATACACTCTGTAATCTTCGGTGTGATGGCCGAAATTCCGGTGATAGGAGCACCTGATTTTTTGATCACGGGTGGAAGGATCACTCTACATCCTAGGCGGCCACTTGAAGAATGGCTTATGCTTGATTTTATAGAGCAACTTGTAGATGGGTTCTTTGAACACAGTGTAGACACCTTTAAATGACCCTCTTGGAGGGGATACCAGCCCCTTTCCGGAGGTGTCCTCTCTCTCCTTCTCTTTTCTCCTAGGGGAGAGAATTTGCCTTTGCTGCCCCCCATTTCATCTTCAATCTTGGAGTATTTATTTATCCGCGCCATCAATTCGCCCATATCTAAGGGAATCTTCTTAGTCAGGGATCGGTACAGGTCCGTATCCCTTGTCAGGCCGAGCCTAAAAGATGCGGTTGCCATGACTTTCAAACACCCCTCTACCTCATTGACCTCCTTCCAATACCGGATGGCGTACTGGCGAAGGGTTTCCAGTTCCTTCCGCCTGACCGTCAGTAATGATCCAATATCTTTGGGTCGTTTACTTCCCGTAATGAATCGGGCTAAAAACTATCTCGTCAACTCCTTCCATGACCTAATGTTGTTGGGAGAAAGAGTCTCAAGCCACTTCATAGTGGAATCTCCCAAACTCATGGAGAACACTTGGCAGAGGAGCCGTTGGTCTGAGTGATACAGGGACATCATTTGCTTGTATTGCCTAAGGTGAGCTTCGGGATCAGATCGTTCATTATAAGTTTTAAACCTTGGCACGATGAACTTCTTTGGTATCTTCATCTCTCGGATATCCCTAGTAAAAGAGGATTGCATGACCTCGTCTTCTGCGTCGTCTTAGACAGTCTTGCCCTTTCTTCTGGATTTCAGCCGAGCTCTGAGATCAATTTTCACCTCAGGGGGATGTCCTCCGAGGTTTTCTAAGGTCATTGACGGGATTTTCCTTCTCTGGGCGTCGTGTGGAAAGGGTTGAATTCTCCTCGGACTCGTCCCCCTTCCTCCGCCTGGACAGTCCTCGCCGAAGGTCGTCCCAAGCCAAAGGTCTTGCNCCCGCCTAGACAGTCCTCGCCGAAGGTCGTCCCAAGCCAAAGGTCTTGCCTTCTTGAAATGACCATCGAGGGGGTGCTCATTGGCTCTCGGGCGCTTTGAGACCCTAGAACTCTCAGCTTTGTTGTTTAAATGATTTCTCAGGTCCTCGGTTTCTGCTTCCCGGACGGAACGTCCACGGGAACGGAATGAGTTCCTTGACCCTTCGCCAGGGGCTGTAAATTCGTTGAGCCGGCTTAGGACATTCACATTATCTTTTTCTAACTGCCGTAGTCGATCCACAAACTTTTTTTCAATCACTTTCGCCAGTTGACGAGCCAAGGGGGCAGATCCTCCTGACCTAATGCCCAGGCTGGTTTGAGGAGTATGCCCCCTTGATTGAATAGAAATGTTCCTGTTGTCACCAGCGTGATCCCTCCCCCCACCATGAAGAGGAGCTTGTAACTCGAGACTTCTTTGCTGGGGGCCTTTCCCTTTCTGTCGAGTATTCACCATGGTCACTGTTCTTTTAAGAAAAAAAAACTAGGAAAACTAGTCGTTTCTCACAGACGGCGCCAGATTGTGCGTGCACGTTCTTGCACAATATAAACACAATAACAGATCTTTTTCGTGGTGAATACGAGTCCGTCGATCGAGTGGTCAATCTTGCTACTTGGAATAGGTTGTGAGGGCTGAAGGTGGCCTAAGAAGTGGTGATGAATTATTTTTATGGGTCGCCTGACTGGTCCTGATAGGCTAAGAGAGGTTCCTGAAACAGAGAAAAACAAGTTAGAAGGGTGCCGGAGTGTTTTTTGGTGTATCCCCTCAAACGATCAAGTCAGTTCTTTGAAAGAGGAGAAGAAAAAAATACTATATGATGCTTGAGAAAGGGTTTTTGCGTACCTTTTTAATGTGTTTGTGAGGACTATTTATACCTTACAAAACTCATCATTGCTGACAGCGTAGCTAGTAGGTAATCATTAGAGGTGGACAGTGTGCACACTAATTTCTAAGAGAAATGTCCTCATTCTTAACTGTTCAGGACCCCGAACAACTAATGTTTTCTCCTCGGTCTGCCGAGTGTTTAATAACCTTCTCTCGGCGGGGATGTATTAAATGTCCAGGCATAGGAACATTTATTACCTTTCACTTCCAGGCTCTTATGCATTAAAGGTTGTCTCATCAAGGGAAGAATGCATTAAATGCCTTCCCTCTCAAGTCGTGTGTCAGCAAGGGCATTCTGGTCTTTTCGTCTCTGACCTGACACAATGTGTCATGTGCTCATTCCCCTTTGGTTGAGCCTTCTGTTTTCTTGTGCCTCCTGACACCATTTAAGTAGGACGATGTTATGATGGCTAGTCTAGCCTAGCCTAGGCTAGTAATTTGTCAATCAATAGCCCCTGCAGGAGCAAAAATGTCCACGTGGACAGATACACCTCAGTACCGATGGACTAACATGATTAGAGACCGATATACCCAAACTGACCGAGGGATACGTGTCGGTCCATGACGTATTGGGAATCCTTGATTCCTGTGAATAGTACCCTCGGGGAAGGGGATTATAGACCGACGTGGACATGTCGAAATCACAGTAGAGAATTTTCATTGGCGCCAAGTATACGTGTTGTTATCTTGGCGTGTCTAAAAATGTCCCATCAAGTAACATGCATGTTGCACATTTGAATCATGATAAGATTACATTTATTTAATCTTTTTTAGACTTTGGAATAATAGGAGTTTCATATATTGGACCTACTTTCCAAAAAATAGAAAACAAACGCCATTCCCCTTCACTGCACCCCTTCCTCCTCCCTCCCATTGTTTTCCTGTTAGTTCGAACCATAAGACATGGGGGTTCTCAGATTAGTGTATCAATCAAAACCAGGTCACATTGATACAAAAATTTCAAGAGTGTTTGGTTGACATGTGTAGTTGCACCCATGATGTAGAACAAGCTAACTCCCATGCCCCCCTCTATTCTCCCTCTTTCTTTCGGTCTTTTGGGGCTCCGCTAGTATCTTTAGGGTCTCACCTCCCGTCTTTCTTACTGTGTTTTGTGATAGTTATGTGGACTCGCAAGTTTTTGGTTGACATGTGCGGTTGCACCCATGATGTAGGACAAGCTAACCCCCAAGCGTGGGAGGATTAATGTTAGACTAAGAGTGGGATTCGAATACATAGACCTGTTACTGTGGACCAACAGGCAACAACGTTGGCCATCAATGGAAAACAAAGGTGATAGCAAGCGATTAAGCATAATTTACTAAGGATTATACAACTTGGATGCATCCGAAGTAGAAAAATTGCGCCACAAAACAAGATGACTATGATCAAACACTGCTATATTAATTGAAAAAGATTCATTGGACAGATTTTGTGTACTGGCTAACACATCTCATCTGAATTTCTTAGATCCAGATGAAGAAAGGTTAAGATGAAGATCAACATCTATGTCCCTCTCACGTAATTTGCCATCGAAATCTGTTAACGAAGTACTAGTGGTTGATGCCCCAAAGCCAGTAATATCTACGTGCAATGGCCGTCCAACATAAATTGGAGAAGCAAAATGACCAGAGGGGAAGGAGGATGACTTCAATGGAGGCTGTGATGAAATGTCCATTTTGGCTTTTGAATCAAACTTAGCGGCAGACCCAGTGACGTTAAAACCTCCTGAATGTACTGATCTCACTGAGTGAGAGCTTAGAATTGGTGCAGCCGCTAGGAATTGTTGATCATTGCCCTGCTGGGCATGCTGCTTTGCTCTTTGACGCTCTCTCTTGTGTGCATTTTGATGACCTCCAAGAGCTTGAGAGTTGGTGAATAACCGACCACAGAACTGACATCGGAATTTTCTATGTTCACCACATGTTTGTGTTTTGTCCTCAGTTGGATCGCTCTCGGTCAAATTGAAACCAAATAGCTTCAACGCTGAACCTGGCCTTTGAACGGATGGGTTGGTTGGAGGAGATGGGTCATTAGCTGATGTTTTAGATGGGTTTGAGCTCTCCGCCATGAGAGGGGGCTAAGAATTTATGAACCAAATGCATCGTATTTATAGCCCGAGGGACTAATCAGGTTGAATATATTTTCTACAGTTCTCAAGATGAATGGAATTCCTCTAAAAATGAAACTGCATAGAACTAGACAGAGCAGTAATACAGAGCGGTAATATATATTTTTTTACAGTCTTCTACACTTGGGCTTATTAGTACTCACGACTTTGCATACAAAAAAACAACCACGTGAATGTCATTGTATTGATCCAAAGACAGAAAAAAAGAAGAAGATAGATCGCTGGACTACAGATGCGACCCCAGGGTCCTATGATGGACCTGGTTTTGAGCTCATAGTAGTGTCAAACCGACATGAACGTGGTAATTATGCTTAACCTGGGCCATTGCCAGTTTGGCAACCATGGAAAGTTCCTGGCATGTCTTCTCTCTTATCCATTAAGGATAAACAAATGAATCAAAAAATCCCAAAACTCCTTCATCGTAAAGTACTAAAAGCTTGTTTCTTTGCTGTGTCATGCTTTAACTCGTCTTCTCGAGTGCACCAAAGTGTCCCAAGATTGGAAGATAATTTTGCGATTTTAAGTCATCGTAGTTTGTTGAGTATGGTGAACAGGTTTGAAAATTGCTGTGCATTTTTGGGTTGGGTTTTAAACGAGGATATGTATACCCGTTCGTCGCATCTAGAATCGTTCATTCCTCTTCTTAAATCAAGAATTTTATATTTTTCTTTAACTAGAAGAACTTTTTCTCATAAATTCACTTTCATTCTTTAACAGTATGTTTAGTAGGTCTTTCATAACTCTCGATAATTAAGCTCCACTAGAATAAATTATGGCATTTGCATGCTGCTAATTGGGTGATTGTAGATGAGGAATTGAAGTTCATTTCGTAGGGACTGTTGGAACGCAATGAAATTCCGTTTCCAGTTACGTATATTCTAGTGAATCTTGTTTGACTGGCATTCGATGATATTTGAATGCCAAAGACGAAAAAAGTAACTCTTGATGCGATACTAATTCGTTTTACTCTATCAATGACCTTTGTTCCAATGATACTCTTTGTCTTGGGAAGGTTTTATCTTCTTGAGATTAAAGATTCAAATTCCCCTTCCCCCTCCCCCTCCCCCTCCCAAAAAAAAAAAAAATTTGTTTTACTCTTCTCTAATTTAATTCACAAAAGGATTGTTGTTTTGATTGTTCGGGTCTAATCTTGTTATCAATAACCACACGTAGGTCGGTCAATTGTGACAGTTGAAGCGAGTTTATTGTTTGGTTTTAACGGGTTTGTATTAGAAAATATTTCACTCATCTTCGATTCGTTTATTAATTTGTATCTAACAAATTATATTATATTGAATTTGTGTTGTATATGAATTATATATAACTGATATATACACAAGTCGTACTATGTATTTCTTTTGATTGACTTCACACATATGCGATTCGTTTATTAATCGTGTCGTGTCTACTCGTTTACAAAACGGATGATTTAAAGAAGATTCAAACCCTTTAATTTTATGTCGTGTTAATAGATCATATTATATTTTGATATCTATAATCGTAAAACTAATAAAATCAAAATACCTCAACAAATACCATGATAAAGACTATTTCGTCCGGTTCTTAGCTGGTTCATTACGAAAAATCAGTCCAGTGTTTATTGGGGGTAATTTTTTCATTTTTTTTTTTGGGGGTAGTACATAGCATTTCATTACAGGTATTTCAAGCCATGGTGCGTACATTTGTTTTTCGAATGATCCGGCAATTTTTGTTGTTCAAATTTTGTGGACAATTGGCTGAATCTAAATTGTATTCAAGGGTATTTACCCAAATCTACGGGTGAGAAATCTGTTCTTTCGTATTTTTACCCGATACTTTACGGAAGAGTTTTTTTTTTTGCCTATCTTACCCGACAAGTGTGGTATTCCTACCCGATTAATCGGGTAGAAAATCGGATAAACATTTTTTGTAACAATTAATTTTTGGATCATTTTAACAATTTAATTAAATAACATGCACTAATTTAACAACACTATAAATCAATTAATATTAAAATCTAAAACAATTACAACAAGAATTATAATAAAACACAAGAAAATATGAATATCAATCCACCATAAATGTTANTATAAATCAATTAATACTAAAATCTAAAACAATTACAACAAGAATTATAATAAAACACAAGAAAATATGAATATCAATCCACCATAAATGTTACACAAATACAATAATAATTAATTTAAGTTTAAACTTTAAACCTTAAATCATATAAACTACATTAAAATCATAATTGTTCCGCATGTGATTAAGGTTTAGGATTTTTTTTAGTTTATATATATATATATAATAAAAAATTATTACGAATAAAGTAGGGTAGTAATATGAAAATGAATTATTATTCCGCATTTTTACTAGAAATTGTAGGACACCAAAAATTCTTTTGCATTTATACTTGATTTTTGCGACTAATCATTCAGTATAATAGAATAGGGTCGAATAGGATAACAACTCGTGGCGATCAAAAATTTCAACGCTCCAAACTGTATTCATAGAAATTCTACCAATACCAAAACATATCCGGACATTCAACATACCTTTTGTACTTTTAACCGTCATTGTCACTGTGTGGTGACATGTGTTGTGTTGGTACACCACATTTTAGTCCTTTACGAGAGAGGCTGTCGGCCACTAATGAGAAGGAGCACTGGTTAATATCCTCCACCCCTCGTGGGGGGATTGGATGATGACAGTGTCTCCCATACTCCATGCTCGATTGACATTCCCATTTTCTCAAATCTCATACTAATTAGTATCAAGCATTTTGATGTTCCGTGGCATGATTTATTTATTTATTTTTAGCATTAAAAAAAGTATTTAAATTGATTTATGCATATTTTAATTAATTTTTTTTTTGATCCAGTCAAAAATAAACTATTCACATTAAAATTAAAAAATTTATAATGAATAAATCTATCATAATCTAATTCTAAAAAAAATACAAAATTTCAAATTCAAGAAATCTAAATTTACGACTCACCCATATTTCTATTGAACTGCCCATTGAGGTTATGATTTAATCGATCTTGTTATATGTTATCATATGACAGTAAATATTTACTGTTTGTGATAAAGACAATTCATTGATCATCAAATCCTTTAAATTGATTAATACGGTCCACTAAGATCAGAACCTCGTATGATCCTAATGAATAACTCATGTGAACACAATATAACACTGGTGAATCGTACTAGGATCAATTCATCGATCTACCAAAATTGATCTACTTAAGAATTGATCCTGGTCTTATATTGATGTTTATTATTAGATACATATATGTTCTTAGTAAGAAGTATATTATGTTCACACTTAGAACTAATGTGTATCTAATCTAATAATAAAGTAGATATAGTACCCTACCGAGTGTACTATTAGCACCATCCCGTGTAATTGGTCCATAGGTGATATATATATTTTTGGGGTAGGACGTCCAACCACGAAAGCTAGCATTGACTTCCACAATTCGTCTGTCAACACCGACGCTTATAAAACTGAATTCGTCTGTTCTAACTAGTTGCAACAGAAACTAATTTAAATGACATTAGAATTTGCACGTCTCAAGCCCGAGACTTTAAAATCGGCTTCCAACAATTTGTTGGCATGCCTTTAAGTTCTAGCTGTACCTTTTCTTTTCCAGCTAGAGCACGAAGAATTGGACTTCTCAAGTCCTATAAGCTTGTTGAGCTTCTTTTTTTCATTTGTAGTTGACGTGGGATAGAATCCACTTGAACAAATGCCTTTAGGCTTTTTTTATAACAATTCACCGCAATGTTTTAATGTGGGGGATTCAAAAGTTAAATTAATAATTAACAAAATTTAAATAATTTATCATATATATTGATAATACATAAAAAAAAATTACATGTTTGAACTCAGGAATCGAGGTAAGTCAGGGAGCTCAACCAAGCAAACTTGACCTCAGAGGGTCTGACATTGGGCTCCTTCAAGTTACACCCTGAAAGAAATTAATAGGAGCCAGCCGAAAGCCACTCGAAGCTCCCTCAACAACAGTAAGCGCCAATCCAGGCGCAAGATCCTCAACTGTCCAAAACCTTTTCCTAAAATCAAGTGAGCTGTTATGGAAAAGGAGGAGAGGATCTCGTCTCGAACCCCATAAAATTAGGAATTGAACTATAAATACTGTACATTTGTCCTCATTACAAGGCAAGCAACTCAAGTGGTATGAAGAACACCGTGTAATCACCTCGAAACCATCAATATAGATTTCAGGAACAAGATACTTCAATGTAGAATGAATTAGGCAAACTCTCAAACTAGTAAACCACTATAATTTTACAGTGCGAATCATCCTTTATCCCCTAATCATTGCATTATTTTCACGAATTTAATAACTCAAATCAAAATTTACGTGTACACATAAACATTCTACTCTTCCACATTTTGCACAACATTATATATATATATATATATATATACTAGTCATAATGTCCAGTCATTCCCATGGCAGACACCAGCCCCAGCAATAGTACTTTGCAACACTCCATCTCGGTCAACCTGTTTTGTCTTCCTCGGTCAAGATGCTAGCCTGAAGAGCANTATATATATATATATATGACGTTCTCATGGTATTCCCGTTTTAATTTTTTTTTTTAATTATTTGCTCTTACAATTTCGTTTTCGTTCTCGTTCCCGTTCTCGTTCTCGTTTTCGTTTTTGTTCTCGCTGGAGGCATGCCCCGCTTCATGTGATCTAGCTCCCACCACTGACTAATGAATAATGATGTCGCATCCTCATTGGCCATTGCCATCCATTGCTGCTTCGTGAAATCCATGGAGGAGCTAACGGCCCCTACTAGGGAATTATTGTAGTCATACTTGTCAAATTTATGTGGCATGCATGCAATAAAAGTGGACACTTTTAATAGCTGTATGCCGTACCTTGGACAAAATTAAAGCTTCACCATATCAACCATGGGGACCCAAAATAATCTCAAAGACCCAACAGCTCATGGATTATAAATCATCTGTACATCTACAGGGCCGCTCGACAGTGTTGTTGATAAAATTTGGACTTCGAGTCCCATTTTTAAAGAAGGTTTTAAATTTATAAATATCATAAATAATTCGCGTGAAAAAATTAAATTTATAAATATTTTAAACTCCACAAAAAAATTTTATAAACATACAAGCTCAATTAAAAAAAAAAATTCAATGCCTCACTTCAAGGTTGGCCTCGTAATTTATAGATGCGTATTAATAGTTCAAATAAAATATTTAAATTTATGCCCAAACAAAAGATTTTAAATAGATTGTACCTATTAATTCAACCATGAAATTAAAAAGTCTTAATTTTTTTTTATTTTT